CTGTAACAGAGAAAACGCCATCGCAGTCAGCAATCCTCTTGGCATAACCCTGGCCACAAACCCAAACTGAATGGAAGTATAGGCTGATATGTCTCACCTACAGAAGCAGCCAATACTAGCAACGCTTAAGAGATTCTGCTAGGGCAATGAATGGGAACCTCATGTATTTGTTCTGTGCAAATACTTTCAGTATTCACTAAAAGTCACCGAAAAGCGTTTTATCAGAGCAGGAATCACAGAGTAAGAAAATAAATGAGGCAGAATGACAACCATATTCTATATCACTCAGATATACTGTTGTTGCAAGGCACTATTTACTAAGACAAGCTCACATACAGTAGTACTTCAGAGGCTGAAGTCTAAGGAGGATGCAAACGTTAAGATGCACAGAAGAAAGCACGCTAACTTCAGCAGAATATTTAACAGAGTGAACCTTCCTAGAGTCAAACATTTATGCCTAAGTAGATTTTTGCTATAGGCTTAGTGACACTAATCACGTTAAATGTGCCAAGGATATATGGAAACAAAGCTTATACACAACATCTTGATTCATGTATTAAGACCCTTCATGCAAGAAATATGGTGTATTTATTTTTCTCCCTTTTCTCCTTGGCCCAACTGATAATCACCTGGGCTTCAGGGACCCGTATTACTGTTAATTATGTTTGTATCTGGGAACTACTATCTGCTCAAACATCAAACACACAAAGGGCATTGCATGGGGCCTCGGACCTGGTAGAAACTGTACAACAAGGCAGGTGAAACAAAGAAATACATTAAACCACGAGGGCAGATTTCCAAAGGCCAGATAGGTGTGAACGAGCTTTCGGCAGGAGCCGAAGCCTGAAAGTTCACTTGGCCACTTAACTCTTCCTTGCGACGCTGAAACTCTTCCCCGTTCTGGTCAGTGCGCGGGAGGGATGCCAGGCAGAGCAGCAGGCCCCCTCTGCCGTTCCTGGAGTGGCCTCCCTCTGCTCCTACGCACCGCTGGCTCTCACCTGAGATTTGCAGGTGGCAGAAATCGGAACTGGTTAACTACTGGTAGTTTATGCCCTCCAGTATGACCTGCCATAACTCCCATTAAAGCAGGACAATTTGCTACAGATAGAACTTTTTATGATTATATAAAACTACTGGAACCTTAACATTATTTAGGTCTTATTGTAAAGCTGTAACAATCACCCACTGTTACAGCTGCCTTAAAACATATGAATTAAGTATTTCAGTAACCTTTAAGATGTGTTATTCTTTGTCATATTACTGAATCATAAGACAGGTCTGGTTACCTCTAAGAGGTTTAAATTTCCAATCTGTTAAAGTAATACTAGCAATCTGTTATTTCTAGGCCATTGAGGAAAGGTTAAAATGAAAATTGGACTTCAGGGATTTCCTCCTATTCTAAGTGCAGGTTGAAAACATCTCAGCAGCAGCAGGTGTAGTCAGAGTCTCAGTAAGAAGCAGTTATCAAGGGAAATGACTGGTGATAACTTTATTGATTAAAGCAGCTTGAGAAATTTAAGATTTGCCACTGTCTAGCATTAGTGTGGTAAGACAGCTTTATTAAAAACGTATTTTTCATTAAAAATAAGGTAAAAGAAAATTGTAGTATGTTTTCTGAAGCACAGCTCATCTAAAATGATTTAATGATGGTATGTATTATATGAATTGCACAGGTGGAATATATCATTAGCAAGCATTTTAAAAAAAGGACAGGCAAGTAAAACCAGTCTCCATCGTGTCACTGCAGACACAGAGAAGTATACCTCACTCAGGAGACAGATCAAAACAGAATGCAGTGGGTAACTACAGAACTTACTGTATTGCTTATACTAAGATTTTATTTGTATGCATGATTAACTAAAACAATCTGCAAATCTGTCTCGAAAGAACATTAAAGGTGCAAGGTCAAGCACTCAAAAGTTAGGAAAATATGTTACAATTAAGGTAGTTTGCTCTACTGTAATTTGTCCCTCCTCTGCACATGCATCATGATGTGATTTGTAGCTACAGTAGCATGTAATATTTTCCCTTAGTCAAAGGTACCGAGTGACTAGTCACGTGGTACCATTATGTAGTGGTATCTACCGCTTATCTCCTTGCTAGGTGCATACTCCCTTCATCCTGATGCTCTCTAAATACAAAAAATTACATCTTCAGACTAGACCTATTACTACAATTAATTGATGACATTTAACACTAGGAACTATCTGTAAAAAAATTTCTCTCAAAATATAAAACTATAGTTGCCAGAAGCACTGAAACGTGAAAAGCTGGCAAACAGCAGAAGGAATAAATAAGAACCTCCTCCAGGGATTATTACTGCTCTTCTAAACCCAAAGCAAATTCTCCTGAAGTCAATGGGAACCACTCCGTCAAGCCCACCCTATGGGATTTTTCTGCCAGCTTGGTGATACATTAAAATCATCTGTTCACATTTTCTGAGTAAAGTTCCTGAGACATGAGCTGTAGTGTCCTGTCACAGCCCAGTGTGGAAACACAGTTCCACAATAATATTCTTCTGCAGCGTCAGAGGCTGACATACTCTCAGCACTATGCAAGCTGGGCAAAGTAAAGTCTGGGGACAACCTCACCATACTGCCATAGGAAGAGGGCAAGTAACACCACTATGCATTGGCCACAAAGACAGGGGGAAAAAAAAAAAAACTCAAAAGACCTCTTCCCTCCTACTCCTGCAGAGTATTCAGTTTTGGTATAAGCAGAAAGAAAATACAAACTTTCGTGTGTCTGACTTAGGAATCTGGAATCCAGGGGCTAAGGTCTTTCCCCCCCCACCTACTTTCTCTTCAAATGCCATTTTGCTTCCGAAATGGATTTTTTGGTTTGTTGGTTGGATGTGGCTGTACCTGGGATATTATGTTCAGGTTGAGCTATCTTGTTATTGGGAAGATATCGACAAACTGTAGAGAGTACAGAAAAGAGCAACACAGCGGGTTACGGTACAGAGTGACCGAATCACAAGGGAAGTTACTGAGAGCTGAACGCGCAGTTCTACTAGTAAGAGACAACTACCACAGTGATGACAAGTCTACAAACAATCGGAAGGAGAACTATCCAGGAAGGATAGGAATTATTTTGGTTATTACCTGGAGAAAAACTAGAAATAAGGAGATGCAGCGTAAAAGGGAAACGAATCTCAGAAAAAGCCTCCTGCCAACGCAAGATCTACGAGGCTGTGAATATTCTCCCTAGGGTACTTAAAGCCCAGTTGTTTGGCACGCTTAAAACTACTCTGGACATAACATTAATAAACGTGCAGCAGGGAACACTGCTGCAATGGGAAGGAGACGGATTAGATGGCCTACTAGATCTTTTCCATCTCCCCGTTCTATAATAAAGAAAAACCAAGCACATACTGAATTACAGGGCCATAATTTCATCTCCAGGTTCTGGGGACCGTACGAGCCCCCAAGACTTCACTCTCGTTGTTTATGATGTCACCCAACCCCCTTGATGGAATTATTACCCCGTAATTCACTGCTGTCTGCTAGTCATTTCATATTCATCCTTAGGCTCTTGTGTGACAAAACAACAAATCAATAAGGAGGACATGGGCACAGCTATAGAGGGGGGAAAAAATGGGCTGTGGTAAGTAAGCAGGGCGTATCACACCTTCAGAGTGTTTTCTGAAAAGCATGATGAAGCCAGTAACACAAGAGGAGTTTTCAGGTCAGCCACTGCTTCCCATTCACCTAAATGAGAAAATATCTTACTTCTGACTTTCCCTTTAGGAGCTGTACTAAAAAAAAGTAGTAAGAGTGACACCAAAGGAAATAACATTATAGCTGCAATTTCATCATGCTGCAGCCTTCAATCGCTAAGTGCGCTGCCAGTCATTAGGGGCACCTGTCATTTTGTGAGGCACATTTTCCATAATTCCTTGGGGATATCTTACTTTTATTCTTTTGTGCTGTTTTCTTGCCCCTAAATAAAGGAAATTCACAGTAATACATGAGTGCAATTTATGGCTCCTATTTATGTAGGGCAAAATTTAACAAGCATGCCATGCCTTCTACAGCAAGAAGTTCATTAAAATGGGTAAAAGATAAAGGCCCCATCAGCAAGTTTCTTTTAAACTGTGTGAGAGGATTCTTTTAGTAACATGCAATAACTGAGAGAATATGCTGGGAAGGGAGCTGGAAAAAAAAATCTGATGAGACCGACAAGGAAAGACGATGTCTCGTGAAAGATGACTATACTTAGAACATAAAGCAGCATTAGGAACAGTTCTGCTCCAGAGAACACGGAAGTGTGTCTGCTTTTCCAGACAAACTTCTCTGGTATTATCTTATGATTGGCAAATAGTTTTTGGGGTTGACACTTTCAACATTAAGGACGTGCATCTTTTCTTTTGAGTAATGTGGTTTGGGAGAAAGCTGAAAAAGAAGGCATGCCACAAGAGTGTAAGCAGAGGAAGAGACTACCTGAGAGAATGAAGGGATGAAAGACACTAAAAGGGGTAGAGGTCTGGAGGGTCCAAGTCAGAATAGAGAAACAGACAGGAGAGAGAACGAAAAGGGAAACAGCAGGTGGTCAAAAGGAACCCTAAAGAAAGCAAAGAAACTTGGATGAAAACTAATGTCAGGCATTTCAGGAGGGTAGGGAGCGCACGCGAGGCAGAAGAAATTCAGCAGATCCCCACCTGCTAGCATTTACCTTCCAGTCAGTCAGTCCTCTTTTGCCTGCTTTATGTTATCTGATGGAATGGGTAAGCATCTTTCTCCCTCCAAAACATTTTTCAACAATTTTTTAAAAATAATTCATAGGAAGATCCTGAATATAAGTATTTCTCTGCAGGACATACAATATGCTGGGTCCTGAAAAAAAAATCTTTTTAGAGCCACCCAGGGTTTACCATGGCCTCCTGGCTACACTCCCATCAGCCCCTTCTGTAAGTTTCCAAGAAAAACAGAGAAAACAACACAGAAGTAGGGTGGATAACTACACGCCATATCCAATGGTCACTGCATCAGAAACCTTACCTGCTGTGGCTGAACTCCCACTTCTGCTAAGGCTGACTCAAAAAACATTTTTGCTGGTTTTCCCACTACTTCAGCTTGAATATCACAAGCATACTGAAAAAAAAAAAAAGGAGAGAGAGACACACACAAATAATCCTGTATAGATCAGAAAAGGATTTGTTCAACTCCACAGCCCCGGTCAATTGTATAAAAGGTGTGTGATTATTGACTGATGCCCTTAAACAACAGAATGGATTAGCAGATGAAGGTGACTATCAGAGAGTTTGGATAATAGGAGTGTTCAATGCTCTCTGGCAGGAGAGAAAGTCCTCCTGAAGCATCTCAAGTCAAAAATCTGTTACGTTCTCCATCATGAGAGAAATCTTCAGACTCAACTCTAGTATCATTTATTTCTGCAAGAATACCACTCTTACAGAAATAACAAATATCCTTCATGAACTGATCAAAAGTACTAGAAGGACTTAAAGAGGCAGACAGTTTCTCCAATCTTCTAGCATATTTTTAATGGTTCAAGTGACCAGCTTGAGCAGGATATTCTCCTGCAACTAAATATCAATATTATGCTAAAATTTGGGTAAATAAGGTTTTCCTAGATTGTTCCTAGAAAACCAGAAGCCCGAACTTTTTATTTGGGAGGTGAAAACTCTCCCCAAAACTCACGTCGATACAAATGAAGCGTGCTGCAAGCATACGTCAGATCCACTGTCTCTGTGTGACTGTATACTTCCCTACTTTGCTTTATTCTCCACGTTCACTCTGTATTTATTTTTTTTATCTGCCTGCAAGCCTATGAAAGGGAGCATAATGACTCTCCTCACACCCTTAGGCTGGCTTATCTATCGGGTTCCAGTTCTGCACAGACTTAATTAGGCTTAAAAACAGGAGTGCACTCAAGTATCTTGCTGGATAAGGGCCTTATGCTGTAAGCTGTTATGGGCAAGAGCTGTGCTAGCAACACCATGCTAAACATAAAACGGACCTTCAGTTTGGCTTGGATACGGACAATATTCCATGTTTTCCTTTTCTCTTTCCTTCACAGGCCTAACTTCTCATTTAGGAACAACAATGGTAAAGTTCACATTTGAAATACATAAAAAGTGAACAAAATCAGAAAAACGAATGCATCCATCTTTAGAACACAGCAAGTGAGTTTAATTTGTGGAAACCTCCTCCACCAAGGTGAGTAATTACAGAAGATGACCCATATTTACACCAGTTATTTTTAACAAGGTGCACAGAGCGAGTAAGCATAACGTAAGCGATAAAATACCTCTAATGCCTTCATATACGCTCCAACATCAAGTTTCAGACCATCGGTTTCTTTATAATAGCGTCTGGAAATGAAAGTGATAAAGTTCCAATGAAATGAAAACGTTGGCAGTTAAACATAAAGAAACCACGTTTTATTATTTCTGTACCTATACAGATGTCCATATGGCCGTAACAAAAAGTCAAGTCATCAGAAACTCCAGAGCCTTAATTTAACACAGGGAATTTAACACAGTAAAGGACAGGCTCAGTACCGTGCAATGCTGAGGAAAAGATTTCAGATTGCAGATCAGATGCCCATCTGGCATTAGGGACACGATTCCACCGATTCCAAGGGATTTCAACCAGCTTATACTAGGATGAATTTGGCTGCAATTTTTTTTACCTTGGCAAGGACAGAGCACTAGCCTCTTACAGAGGACAGCAGTTACATTGTTCTTGCTTTAACCCACGATGGAGAACCCTTGGCAGTTATGAGATTAGGGCTGGCACCGACCAGCAGCTATAATGCCACCTTCAGTCAGTCTGTAAGGAGACACCACGCAGTTTACCATCACTGCTTGTCATCAGTCTCCTACATGAAGGAAGCCAGGGCATTGTTTAAGCTGCCCTGACACGTTCTCCCTTAGACATGAGGGCTGAGAATACCCTCCAAGCTAAATTCTGTTCCTTCTACAAAATGTTCATATCGCCTTGAAGCTCACAAAATTGTTTAGTATCTTTGGGGCGTTTTTCTGGAATAGCAGTTCACATTAACACAGGTCTTCAAAGCTCTCTGATCAGGGGAAACGCAAGTTTCTGTATGTCAGAAAAAAAAACACAGGATGAGCAGTCAGTTAAGATTTTATGCCTTATCCTTCTGCCATTTTCCATTATTCAGCACAGCCTCCCTTTAAAATGACCACTTGACCTTTGCTAGAACAGCCATTAACCTTCTATAGTCTAGCGTAAACAGCTTAATTTTCTGACAGTGGCATGACAGAAGAAATTACAAAGCCAATTCCCACTCTCAGCCCAAAACAGATGCTAAATGTAAATCACTCCATTTTCAGGAGGAGGGCATTCTGCTTCAGTGACTCTGACACTTTCGCTTTCTACGGAATGAACTAAAACTTTAACAGAAATCAACCTATTTGTTCAAGGTACATGCGTTATTAAGGTCCTATCAATTACACTAATTTTGCACGTGAACAACGGAGCTAGCTTTTTGTATATGGCCCTTTGCATGCTTCTTCCCTTGCTAGATAAGCAAGATTCATCCCATTTATGATCTCCCTTCTTAAGGGTCTGAGAACTTATCTACCAGGCTAACCCATCCAGCAATTTCTGCAGAACTCATGCTCACGGTATGCAAATGTTCGATCATAAAAAGCACACTTTTCATGAAATCTGAACTCAGAGATTCCAAACATGAGCTATTTTTCATTTAGAAAATAATCTTTCTAGAAATTACGGTGATGCTGTTTTAGAATTGTGTACATTAATGAATGTACACAAATAAACACATACATATGCACAGACTGCAAAGGCATTTTTTCATTGCTCAGGTTGTAAATCTTAAACAAAGGTTGATTCTACACTTCGTTTGGAAAAATGCTGTTACATAACACAGAACTCAGTTATTTTACATGTTAGTCATTTTGCTGTTGGCTCCTAACATTTTCTCTTTATCCTAGTAACTGAAAAATTGTAAGGATTTTTTGCCCACCTTGTGGAATCAGAGCGCCTGAGTGTCAGGTATGGCAACACAATGGATTTAACTGCTCCTTCCCGCTGGTAAGTTCTACTCTGCCAGATCAATAATCCATGAGCTAAGAAGGGTTTTCATGCCCATTACAGTCTATTGAACCACTGAAAAAAGTTGCCACTACAGTTTCTCAGACTAATCATACATATTCTTTTTTAAGCCCATACGTTGCACAATGGATAAGAATTACTCCTTCAAGGCCTTTTGGATTTGTCATTGTTCAGTGTTGGCGTTACTAACCTGCTTTTTAAAATTCTCAGACTACATCTCACTGAACTGGTGTTTAGGAAAACATTCAAATTCCATGATTGGACTTCTCCTGCCTAGGAAAATAGGTGGTCAAAATCAACCTTAAACATCCAGAGAAGCATTAAAATATCTTACGTTGACAAAGCAAAATTACCGTTGCTTTTGCAGGTCTTAGTCATACATAACAGCCTGACCGTTTCTCAGTACATACTTGGGGATCTCCCCTTTAGGCTTCTCAGACACTACTCCTTCACAGCCCATTCAGGGGAAACATTTATCCCCATCTCCACTATACGATGGGTGGAGTTTGTGCATTACAGCTGCATCTGTAAAAGGGCAGGGCTTCTATATCAACGAAAAACCTCTCTTGGCCTCTTACTCCTTTTATACATAAACTCTCAAGTTACTGGCGTGAAACTGCTTCCTTATGTATGAGATTCTCATAGCTTAAACTGAACCTCAGGAACTGTAGGCATGCTAAAGCTAACTTTCAGAGACAGCACCTTTAAATATAATTCAAATAGCGAGGGCCCACGTATGTCACACAGGCCATTAGCCACATCCAGTATCACATCTCAACCACTACAAACGCGGGCAGGATTTGAGCCTGAAAAGGAGTGCTGGAGGATTGGCAGCTGAAACAGAGAGAGTTTTCTGGGCCGTCTGATCCTTCTCACCCTTAGTTACTTCAGGATGCTGGAAGATCAAACTGCATCACAAATCTACAGCAGCAGCCCTTTATCCAAGCCTGGCCTTTTCAGGTGGTTTTTTGGTGTCTTTTGCTATTCAACACATTTTCTTTTCGGTAATCCACATACCTTCCTCCAGTTTAGGTTCTCTGGCATTCAGAGTATGACAGACACATCCAGAATACCGTAACAGGTAAGTGGGCTGTGCCAAACACAGATTAACAAACAGACCCCTTTCTAAGAGTTTGCTGTAGAAGACGAGACAAAATAGGCAGGCAGGAGGACAAGTGCAACAAAGAGACTATGGCTACAGGCACTAGTTAAACCAACAGTTCTTCTCTCTGAGATCTTTTAAAGGCTATAATTAAAATAAAAGACAACAATGCCCATAAACCTAGGGCCCTTTTGCAATACTCATTCGCTTGGGAGTCACACACACCAAAATCAAAATGCTCCATGATTTCTAAGGGTTTTTGAAGAAATCCTCAGACTTGTTCTTCAAGAGAAAAAATCCCTTTCTTAGTGGCTTACAAAACTAGTTATCTAACCCTCCCACCACCGCTGGCGAACATCTAGATTAGCTCGCTCTTGAACGCCGACTTTGAAAGGTAGGAGGCTGGCATTCGCTGTGCTTATACACCAGGTTGTCACCAGAGTTCTCCCAAGGCTGCTGCAACTCCCCTTCAGAGAAGCAGCTGTATTTCTCATCATCTAGCATTTGTTGAAACACACCCACACAACTGCTTACTTTGTACTGCCTACCAAAGAATGACCCCTGGCGGCTCAAATTCAAGAGATGCCTCACCTAGTGCTGTAGCACCACAGAGACTTATTGGTAAATATTTGAAGTCAACAGGAGGATTTGGCACGGGACGCTTGGTGACTTCCAGTATTCTTTGCAAACCTGTATCAGCACAGGACTGAACTGGGACTCATGGGGAGAATCCATATCACCTTCTTCTAGGGATCTATTTCAGCTTAATCACCCAAGTTTCCCCTTACACCCAGTGAAAGGCTACAGAGAAGTGACTCAGGACAGGCGGATGAGTTACCTAACCGAACTACCCATGGACAGATACATGAGCATACCAGCCTCCCAGTCTAGACACATAGATCAGCTGCTTAAAAGTGAGTAGCATAAATACCCACGCTGATTCCTGGCCTCTGTTAAGTACGAAGATGCTGGGGGAAGTTAAATATACAGACTACATAAAAACATACAGGCTGGAGGAAGAAATCAACAGTGCTTAACTCACCCTCTTCCAAGAGATATCAAAACAGGATTCTCCAATTCGATCAGAACTCTGAACGCTTCGTTAAGGTTTGCATAGGAGAAGTTGTCTGCTGCATCTCCAACTACCACACAGTTTGGGTTTGCTTTATCAATCTCAGCAAATTCAGGGACAACATCTAAAGAAAGAGGAAAAAAATAAACAAATCACAAATCCCTCATCTTTTCAGATCCAATAGGAATTGATGGCTTTCTTAGATTTGTACTTCCCTTTATCCATCACCACACACACACACACAAACAAACAAACGGCCCAAGTCTGAATCAGCTGCTCTTTACCTCTTTCTATTCCTGACTGGGTTCTGCTATTTATCTGTCTGACAACGAAGAGAAAAATAAACTGTTTCGTCCTCTTGCCTTAGCTCCTACTACCCACTTCTCAGTGGCTTGTTACCTCTAGATCTGAGGTAAACTCTCATATAGTAAGAGTATAGAGTAAGAAAACATATAGTAGCAAGGGCAGGAGTCGCTTCCTTTCTTAGTGCCCATCCTCTTCAGAAGAAAACACTAAACTTAAAACCGCTGTCATGATAATAAAGAGCTCAGAGAGGCCCCAGCACAGGGGAAGGGTGAAGAGATGACTGCATGAGGGCTTTGTGCAGGTAGATCAAAGAAAGAGTGAGCTGTGTACAAGCCGGGAGAAGGATGTGGTTACGATCAGAGGCTTCATGATTACATGGATGCAGTCACAGTTCCAACCCCAGCCCACAGACTGCCTCGCACACGGATTCTGCTTCCAAATTTCCTATTTCTCTTAGACTTCGGGAGGAAAAAGCTGATGGGCAGAAAGCAACAAAACGTTATGTCCATTGCAGAAGTGTTTCTGGATAGGAAGTGATAATAAATCTAACTGAATCTTCACTTGTTTGAAAATGCTCAGTAAAAGTCAGCTGCTGACTTAATTGCTACAGAGGCCTTTTATATGACAAAATCGGGTAGATATTCAGCTGCGTCTCCGGGCAGGCATTAGCTCTCTGACACCTGAAGCACACAGCGTTTCAGCAGCAAAAATATTAGAGCTTCTCTGTGAAAACAAAGGTAAGAGTGGCGAAACAGAGTGGCAGTGGCTGAAGAGATGACTGCTCTACCTTGTGCTGAAAGGACTGAGGGATAAGGACAATGGCTTCTGTAATGTCCTGTATAGTGCACATCTATCTGTTACTATCTCTTTTGCGTGTACTGTGCAGCTTGCTGATTCCCAGCAGAACCGGGACTGTCTTCATAAGCAGAAAGGCTTAGGACAGAGTGTAAAATGTCCATGTTACAGAATTGCTGTGAATCAGGACTCACACAGCTTGGCTTCTCACTCCGTAACTCAGAGGAAGGCTGTGTGACCACTATGTATACCACTACGATAAATGAGATCTCACTCAGGTGATACCACTAACATTTACTGCAGAGTTTCATAACTAAGGATCGTGAAGTTCAGAGTTTTCCTCTGGGAAACAGAGGAACAGCTGGGAGTTCTTCTCCTCACAGAGCTCTGTGAAGTGACTTCTCTATCCCAAATGCCCGCATCTTTGCGGGCTGTCCTCTACATAAGTCCCAAACCCTGCTGCAGCGTTGTCCCACCGTCGTGTACGAGCAAGTGCGGCCTCAGGTTGCGCTCCTTCAACACACGACAGGCTGCTGGTGCTGGGGCAGTGACTTCGTCCACTGAGATGTCAAAGCCTAAGCCCTGGAGCTTCTTCACAAACTTCTCCCGTGTGACTTGCGTTTCGTTTGTGCAGAACCGCAACTTCAGACCAGATGCCTTGATCCTGTTGTATAAAAGTAGCAGAGGCGTTAACTCAACACAGATAAGGAGCTGGGCACATCAGCTTTGCTGTCCTCACAAAGCTACCACATATTCAAGACAAAGACATGTTAGAATATATGAACATTCTTGTATTAACTTAAACATGTTTACATTATTCTAATATTATTTAGATTTAACACTGCACAACAAGAACACAAAGTATTTTCCAAAAAAACAGAAGCTTAAAGTTAACTTAGATAATTACAATGAAAAAAGCAAAGACGAGGTGCCAGACCAGGAGCAGGATTCCTTATTATGACCAAGATAAACCTAAATATATTGATATATTTGGGGCACTCCAACAGCAGTGTTCATGGGCAGAGCCCCAGCCACAGCAGTAACAGCTCTTTTGGAGCACAGAGCTAACCCGAACATGGCAGCATAGGCTATGCACATGATCCCGAGGATACACACGCCTGCCAGCTACACATTTCCTCCACATATCAAAAAACCCTAAACCCAGTTCTTCATTTTTAATCTTGCTCACAGATGTATAAACATATGAACCGGAGGCACTGCATAGCTATGAGCACAATAGCTAGCATGATACCACTAGCTATCAGCATTTTGGCTTGCACTTTTCCACTTACTGATCACCTGCTACAACATCAGCACTTACGCACTAGGAGTAACAGTAAGGTTTTGCACTTCTCTAGACACCAGGGCAGAGGCCAGCTAGCTGCATTCTGTTGCAAGAACGATGCTTTTATCAACACAGGGGTGGCTTCAGCCACATTTATCATTTAGTCCCCCATGAAACACCTCTGCTGTTATTTGCAGGGTAACCCTGAAAAAACAGGGCACTTTTAATAAATTAATAAATGTTTACAGATAAATATGTTTTGACTTCTCAAGGGAAGAAAACAAAACATGGCCTCAAGTGTCCAGAGCCAAGGAAACAATTCCTTTGGATCAGTACTGTGCAGCCTCATGCAAAGTTCCTCTGCTTCTCACTCAGAAGAGTGACTTAGTTTCCCCATCTATAAACGAAAATGGTAAAAGCCCGTACTGCACAGCGCTTCAAAATCTTCAGAGGAAAACGGTAACTATCTCAGCTAGTTAACACTACTACATGAAAACAAAATATTAGTTGTAATTATTCTTCGTTGCAGTTGGGCTAGCATCATTTCACAGTCCCAACCTAGAACTGGTTTCTTGCAGAACTAATGACTTGGGATTCACTAAGTTGTCGTGATCTACTGGAGATGTCACAGAGAAGCCTCTTCTCCAAGGATGAGTTTTCAACCCTTTGGAGAACCAAAGAATCTCAAAGTGGCCATGAAAAACACATACTCATTGAAAACTCATCACAATTTTTTTAAATCTTTGCCAAAGGGACTATCACTCAGCTCCTCAAGTATGTCAAAATGCCTAACCCTTGTCAATTTTAGTGTAAATGTTTACATAATTATCTTGAGGACCTGGACCCGAGCTAAGATGGGCTTAGATGCCTAGCTAAACTTGGATCCAAGCTGATAAATTCTTATTAAAATGTTATTACGTTTATTTGCGTTAGGATGAAAAGGAGCTTTTTTATTAGGAAACCCTCTGCACTGATTCTCAAGGCAATAAAATACATGGGTTCTTCTTCCAGGGAAGCCATTCCCAATAGGCTGGTGTAAACAAAGCCAGCTAAAGACAACATATCTGACAAAGGACTTTCCATCAAAGAATTCTTAGAAATCTGATCCTGACCCAGCAAGCCCCTTCTACGCATTAAAACTGCATGCCAACGTCTTCTTCAATAACACAGGTGATTCATTTCTTTCTTATTATTTGTCTTTCCTAATCATAGGTATGTGAATTATCAATTACACTTAGTGGTTAATTGCCCTTCATAAAGATAGCTCTTCTATTTTAAATTAGGCAGTTAATATATTGTAACTAATAGCATCCACTTGTACATTATAAATATATCTTCATTGATTGGAGCAGTGAATGTGAGATTCACTCACAAGTTAATGAAGCAATTGAGTGAAGAAGTGCAGGGTGTACCCAGGGAATAATTACTGTTAATGAATTATGATGTGACCTTCTCAGAACAATGAACAATTGGTGTGACAGTTAGATGACAGTACTCCACATCTGTTATTCGAAACACGGTTTCAGCTGTAGTTAAAAAGCAAAGCAAAGTAATTTGGATATATAACAAACTTTAATAGTGTGTTATTCTAAAATGCAAAGCGTATCTTCACATCGTTAGCAAAAATCCCATGATTCATGATCGTCTAGAAGCAGACGTGTTGAGTAAGAATCTATTTTATTGACCTTTAAGAAGAGAAAGAATAAACTCAGGAACAATGCTAACCAGCCGAGCTGCATATACAAATAAACGTGCCCTCTCAGGTGAGCTTGGTGGAAGCAAAGAATAAGTTTTTTCCGTACTTCAAATTTAACTCCCTTTTCAGAGTTTTAGATGAAAAAAAGGCACACTTCTGAAAGGTGTGACCAGAGTAGGAGCTGCTAGAATACATGCTGTACTGCCTCATGCCTCAGCGGCCACCAGCAATTGTCAGCTCAACAACACAAACTTAGTAAATTCTTAATGCGGCATAAAAACCACAAAGAGTTAAGCCAAGCTGGTCAGAAAAAGGGAGTTCTTTGCTCGGAACGTTTTGGTGAAAACAACTCTCAAAAATATTTTGGAAAACAATACAAGAGAAAAATCAGCAACAACTCCAGATTCTCCAACGACGACAAGTTTTATTTCTATAAAAAAAAGCCTTTTCTTTGAAAACCCACCTTTTCTTTCAAAGTCAGGGCTCCTAAGCAAACCTCTGCTAGCTCTCTGCCAGATCCCTGCCCTAGGCAGTGCCACCCGGTGCTACGTGTGTGGTTAGAGGCGCTCGGGAAGGAGTCTGCCCCTCAGCACCCAACGCGCGGGAAGGTGCACAGAGCCTGCAGGCCAGGATTCATCTGCACACTACTAACTGAGAGCTCCAGCACCCAGGGAGAGCTTTTTACAATGCTTCTACATGGGGAAAATCCTGGCTCCGCTGGTGTTGACGGCAAAACTCTCTTTCAGTTTTTACGGTCAGGTTTTCCCAGGGTGGAACTACAAGCTTGAAGGTCCCTGTCTGACAGACATGAAATGCTTTGCAAAGCAAGTGTATACCGTACTGGAGGTGACCGCTGCTAAGCTGGAGAGTTTAACAGGAAATCTTGAGCTAGTGCGCTGACCTGGCAACCAGTGGCTAAAAGTTTAAGAAGCTAATACAGAGCAAGTTACTGCAATTTCTAGTGCTGGCAAGTATGGAGGCTGTTAGGAGAAGACGAAAATAAAGAACAATATTTCTAACGTGTTGCCTTAGAAGATAAAGAGCAACAGATAGAGACCTGCAAGTACAGGAGAATGCAGTGCCTGCCCCCTAGCACCAACAGGTGCAATCCACAACACACATTTTAGCAAAATCTCCAGTGGATTACTGATTTATCAGCATCTGTATTAGAGCAGCACAGGCACACCCAGGAAACCCAGTCCGTCAGGGCTTCAGCCAACTTCCATACGTCATGGCTGTGATAAAGATGCCAGCCAAACTCCAGAAGCACCAGAAATCAGTCTTGAGTTGTGCACAAGCCGAGCACACAAGCAAAAAGCACTTCACTCCATGCTGTGGGGATTTTGCATTTTCCAGGTACCTGTGGACATTCAGAGCCTGCCTTTCACTCCCCGTTCCCGGGTGTCAGCGGGTTTGCTCCTAGACATATCTGCTGCATTTCCAACACCACTTCTCCTGCCCATGAGCTGTTCCTGCAGGAACTGGGGAGCTCAGGCTTAGCTTGCATGCTCAGAGCTAAGCTTTAAAGAGAGAACAGTTTCTACCCTTTAGGAGCGTGACAAACTGCAAACTCAGCTAAAGCTCTTTGCTGCAAAAGCAGCTTCTCAGAGCCCCTCTCAGAGGGGACCCGCAGAGCCCGCACGGCGGCAGGTTAAAGAAAACGTCTGCGGCCGCGAGCCGCCCGCGCGCTCCTGCAATCACTGTGTTTGCAAAGGTGACTAACTGCATGGGGGGCCCGTAAGGCGATGGGGTAGTGAAACAAAGGAGCTAGTCACAGAAGAAACTTCCAAGTCAAAAATTATAAGTGGACATAGTAGGACAGAAGTAAAACACCAACAGGTGGGTAATGAGACATTGTCCCTAAACCCTTAGCACAGAAGTGATTTAAATCCACTCCACACCAAAGCAATCGCTAAATCTAGAACCAGGGGCACCCATCCAGCTTCATAACTCCTCTGAGAACACGTGTATCAGGTATATGAAACGAAGTTTTTTAATTTCAGCTGCCAGCTTGTCCCTTACGCTATGCCAGTTCTTTGAACTGACCTTTACCTCATTTTGACAGACCAGGACAAGACGCTGAGTGACAATGTCCCACAATGCAATTACTGAGCGTCAGATGAGCCGGTCCCTTACAAATCACCTCGAACTTTACACATCTGCTGGCTGTCAGCATCTGCCAGGTTCACTCACCCGAAAATAATGAAAAAACTCTCATTATTGCTCCATAACAGGTAAAGCGTTAGGACAATTATTAGACATCCTGACTGACCTTGTGCAGACTTAACCAACTGCCCTTGCCAACCTTTATAGGTAGCCTTTGGGCATATAGAACAAAAACTGCCCTTTTAGACAATGTAAAGGTTGTGACACCAGGAGGGAAAAAAATGGCCCTGGGATCTAGACTCAAAGCCATCCCTCCTCCTTAAATTCACATTGTCCTGCAGATAGCAGAAGGGGCTAAGGACGCAAGCTAAACTTCAGACTTCCCATCTTTGACCTCTGTGTCACAGTGAAGGCTGCTTCTAACGCAGGAGCTGAAAGCCACTCCTTCCCATAGCCAGCAGCCTCCTATGCAGATGAACAGGACGGCAGAAAACTAAACCCTGGAAAAGGTAACAGTCTGAACTTGGCAACTGTCCCAACATCAACTTCAAAGGGCTTTGGAAGAGCTCTGGTTATGAGATTTCCAGAACTGGCTTTTTATCTTGCTTTTGGGTTTTCAGAGGTCTTTTAGTTTAAAAGAAAAGAAACTCTGCTAAGCACTTATGCTACCTGGTGCTATTTGACTCTCTTGCGTGGGCGCAGAACTACCAGCGTGTTTCAGCGTATTCCTGTCAGCTCTCTAATGCTGCCTCAGCTACAAGGGAAAACAACAGTATCAGGTAATTATCTGCTTGTGACCAAACGATAAAGTAAAACCACAGGACTTGTGCAATAATGCTTTCCTCCCTGCCTGAGGAGGGTTAACATTTGGTTAATGTCCTCTGCAAGGGCCAGGGTGGTGGAGGTGGATCATTTCTGTCCAGGAAAAGTCTTGTTTTAGCTGCAAAGTATGGAAAACTCCTGAACATCATTTTTCAGCAAGCTGCCTTTTCTTCATGCCTCACATCTTTCCTCATATAAAGCAATACCAGGCATGGAAAGAAGACAAAAAAAGACACATCAACTTCTGACTTCTCAGCTTCAGGAAGATAGCAGAATATGTTGTTTCTAATCAGAAGACTGGTAGCTCTTAGGAACTGCACAAAGGTGACAAAGACTGGTAGCTCCTAGGAACTGCACAAAGGTGACAAATGCACACAATGCAACAAGTCCTACCTGTCCTTCACAGCTCAGGAAATAGAAGGCATATGGAGTGCCATCTGCTGGCACCTTAACTGTACCAACACAGAGCACTCCAGGAACAATTCTGGGGGATGAAGCCATCACAGCTCCAGGGAATTCAACAGACACTCACTGCGCTAGACGACTGGTTGGAAAAGTTTCAGATGCACCTAAAAAATAAGTTTGCAAAAAATCAAATGTCAGAACCAGGCAGAGCAAAGCCAAGAGGAAACCAATCATAAGGGTCAAAAGTAAAAATGACTTGCTTAGTTTCGAGGTCAATACAGAAAAAAAGGGGTTTGAAAGAGTTTGAAAATTACAGTAGACATTTACATAACTTATTTTGCCTGCCCGGGTAACAGACACACACCGCACATGATGTTGTTTTAGCCAACATCTAAAAAACACAGTTAAAACGACTAAGTTTTGCAGCAAGAGATCAGTGCTAGACTCAACCTCTCAGCATAAGCAGTGGGTAAATCTGGTGTGGACTACAAAACGGTCAGCGATTAGGACAAAGACAGATAACAAAATCTTCAGTCCCTTCAGGCAGCACTGACTAGGAGGCAATGTGATGTTTTCCCATTACTTGGTGGGCCCACAAGTGCTTCCCTGTGCTGGCCCAGCCACCGCCTGCTTGGGGCTACTAGAAATCCAAAGTGATACAGAGGTGCTGTATGTTAAATAACAGCTCAGCAAAGCAAAGCTAACTTTGAAATAGGCACTGAAAATACTTAGCAGTTAGGTAACTAACTAGGAAGCTAAACATATTTTAGGAGAAAGTAAAAACAAGATTCAGAGATGAACAGATTCAGATGCAGTTGTTAAATAACTAGCAATGTAAGAAGAAATACTAGGACAACAAAACTAACTAGCTAAGTACTCCACCTATTTATAAAGATGATATATTAGAGATGAGCAAGCTGCTGCAGAAAGACTCCAGGAGCAAGTGCCTGCAAGTTATACACAAGTGGAAAATGGAACAGCTTGGAGAAGATAGGTTAGAAAAATAGGAGGTGGGGGGAGAGAAAGTAAGCAGAAATAGATGAGAGAAGGTACCAAGGAATAAACAGGCCAGGCAGTTATGAGAAATCTGGTATCTCTCCTATTAACCTGTGCACGGTGGAATCAAATCTGGAAGAGGAAGTGAGGCTGAGGCAGGCTGCAGAAGGCAAAGCAGAGTGCTGTGAAAATTTGGGAACATGAGCGTTTTCTGGATCAAATAAAGTTCTTATTCAGTATTAAAAGGAAACAAGTCATAATTTGCCTCTTTGTTATTGGCACAGCAGCTGGTACTCAAGCACTCCTGCTTTCCAGGAAGGCTCTCAGAAAGCTGGATCATACTCTCGAAGTCCACACTGCGGACTCCAGAGACCTGAACCCTGGCGTTTGGGGAAGATTCCAAAATGCTCACGTATTGACTAAGTGTTGAAGCTACATTAATTTTCAAAAGGAATTGAATGACAAGTCAGTCTTTGGAAATCTCACCAAGTTCATTTTTAAGGAGCTAAAAGAGAGTGATTTTCAGAAGTACTGGATATTGGTCATTCTTCTTGATAGCATTTGTTTAGACTTTAATCAGTCATACGTATGAGGACTCCTTTAGAAAGGACATATGTAGACACACACACATACACGCGCGACTGACAGAGAAAAGGCGGATTTAGAATTTATTCTCCCTTTCTCTTGTACACAAGAATAAGGGGACAGTTGTACGAAATTCAACATCAGCAACACACTACTACTTTTTTGCACAACGTAAGACTAAACTGTCAAACTCACTGGCCTCAGAACCTCTCTGTCTCCAAATCTTGTTTTCTTCAGGACACTGGATACTTATCTAGCAATCAGGAATTTCTGCAGTTATACTTAATGACAAGATAAAATATGGTGATTAAATCTCCTGCCTTAGACGTTAAGGCGACCTCTAAAAGCACTCGGAAGGAAATCTATGGGCCATATTATTCCACATTGCTCACTGCAGGGTTCACATACTGCCTTTTGAAGTATCAAGTCATTGCTGCTGAGAGAGGTGTGTCCCCCCCCCCACCAGCCCCATAATTCACCTAGCAAATCATATAGTGCTGTACACAGAAGGCAAAAAAATCTCTTCTAGCTGCTGCAATAAACAGCTCATATCTTGAAGCAACAGACTAGGCAATAGTCACAAATTAACGCAAAGCCTGGCACTGATCTTGCAGACGTTTCCCAAGTGAATCTACCTCTCCCATGTTAGCACGTACAGCTGAGAAGCAGGTTCGAAAGCTTTGCCTGCTCAGAGTTGACTGAATGAGCAAACCCCTTCCAGTCTGCAGCCACAGCACTGCCTGTGCGGTGGGTCCGTCCCTTCTGCTTTATGCACCCTTTGTGGCATTGCTGCATTTGTGGCAATAGTGCGATATACTGTGACTCAGAGTTCATGCTACTATAGTGACTCTTCCCGTAAAAATAGCCATCCTAGGCAAAACCATTATTTCAAAAGTATGAGGGAAGTCAGGCATTAGGGAAGCCTTTGTCCACCTTATTTAGTTAATTTGACCAGATTTTAAACCACAAACTTCTTGCAACTCCACAGAAACACCTATCCTGCCAGTATTTTGTTCAACTGCGATGAGATCATAGGACTCTGGATGAAACCCTCTCATGTCCCTGTGGCAGGCCTACCTCAGCTTTCTTTCTGGTTGCTCATCCTCTACCCCAGGGACGAAATCTTTTGTTTGCTCTGACTTCTTCCGTCCTCGCAATACGTCCGAATTGCTTAAATCTTGCCGCCACACCTTTTCTGCCTCTGATGCTACTTTTGTTCTCTGATCTCATCAGGCTTCCGTTCCCCCATGTCCTCTCGTTGCTCTGGGGTAGAGCTGAACTCATTAAAATTCCCATTCTCTGGTGGCCCAAGTTTCTGCTCCACATAGCAAGGCTGGCCTTACACATTCTTGTGTATTGCATTTTTGGCCCAACTCCCCCTTGCATTCCGGTGTCTGAAACTCAACCCTACATCTGTTATCTCACGGGCACAATTTCCTTTCCAGACTCATATGGCTCATCTCTCCCACTATATAGAGGTGGATAATTTGGAAGGATTGCAAAAGGGATTTAAAAAGATGGTAGTACCTTTGAACAGGAATGAGATAGATTACTAAGTGTATATGAAGAAGGCACAAGAAGAGCCCAATGTTATTTAAGGGTTGGCATTGGTGAAATAAGACAGCGTACTATTACAAAATTAAGGACTCCGGAAACACCACTTTCAGACATTGTTTGACAGCAGAACTGATAAGTCACTAAATTGTTGTTCAAAGTAAACTTTAAAAACATATCAACATCTTTATTTAGGTATTTAAATCATTTTGTCCGTTTCAGAGGTAAAGAAAAAACAAAACCTAACTTTGGAGGGTCAAAAGCATTAACGGTTAGCATGAACAGGCCTGGAATTCATTCGTCTTAATCATAACATTTTTATCAACAATCACATTCCAACAGCTTTCATTCTTTGCTAAAAGAGGTCAATTATTTGTCTTTGCAGCAACTAATTGTGTCTTAAAAAGTCAGTCACAACGAAGATAACTTTGTCACTGGCAAATTATTACTTTGCATACATACAGCATCTGCTTATAAATATTGAAATTCCCACTTCCAGGAAAAAAGAAGGTAAATTGCTGAAAGATTTCATTTAGCCTATTTAATGGATAAAGAATTCGCTCTCAAATGCTTTGCTTTCCCTCCTGCTTTGAGAAGTACCATAGTATTTCATGACAATAGCTCAAAGCAAAAGTAGCATTTCAGGAAACTTTGTGCGATTTTACTTTGAAAGTGATGGCCTGCCAAGGATACAAACAAATACACATCTAGGCTGCCTGAAGGCAAACAAAACACAGCTGATGCTCTTTAGGTATCCACAGAATCTCTTTCCTGGCTTCTGCACCTTTCAAGATCCTCTGAAGAACCAGCGTGGCTAAGAACGAGCGCGATTCCACTCCTTCCAGTGCATTGCTTACACAGTCAGTGGGGAACTCTAACGACAGCATTTAGGCTTAAGAAAATGGCGATATCAGTGAGACTAGAACGAAGCCTCGTTCCTTGCATAAGATCCCTGATAGGGTTCACCAAACATGACAGACAGGAAAAAAAGTCTACTATATCAGCAGTAAATTGAGACAAGTCTCAAGCTCTAAAGTAGAGAAAAAGGCAAAATGCTACTTATCCATTGCAGGGATTAACTGGTATTTATACGATGAAGAACAAGCACTATTAGTAGCTATCACTGTAATATCTATTATTTACCATTGGTAAATATTTGTATGCCATATAACTGTAGCAATGGACAGCAAGTAGCTCAAGACCCTAAACATAACAATGTTTACGTTAGCAGTGAGAAGCGTAAGCTTTTATTCATGCAATTTATGCAGACAGCACTTTCTGAGGGTCCATACAACTTCAGGGACACTGAGCTTTTAAAAATAATAACAAACACTGCTGAGTAGGAAAGAATATATGGGTTAGGAAGGTCCACTGCTCCAAGAAACTTGAGGCCACAGCTAATGTTAGACTACAGTGGAGCTATGACAACTTTCAGCTGGCAGGGGATCAATTCCTGGAGGCTATTTCTGTCCCTGCCAGTGAAAAGCTACACGACTGTGGATGAACTGCTTCATCTTCTGTGCCACTGCTGCTTTACCCAGAAAAGACAGACGACGACACCTACATTTCTTCGAGATCTATGGATGAAAAGTGCAAAGCAGGAGTTAAGCACAACGATGAATGGATTTTACACGAGAATTTGTATAGTTGATTTGAAAGTCTCTGGGAGGAACAACTCCTCTGCTTTTGCATGCCTTGAAGATGTATCAAATCTTGAAACTCTGAACATCTGCACGGATGGTGCTAACGCATGCTTTGGTTATCTTCTGTTGCAACAAGGATTTTCTACTCCTCGTTCCACTCACTTTCAGATGGCTCTTTGTAAATTCAACTGCTCTGCATGAACCAACTCTCTACCCCCCGCATGCTGAATTGCTTTACGATTGCAATTCTGCTTGTTCTCCTCACAATCTTTGCCTTGTTAGACTCTACAGGTATTTTATTTTAACATGACTGTCCAGCTGCTCCACAGCCTCCCTATGCCAAGATTTCCGTTGCTCTTTTAAAGGATTCTGTTGAAGTCTGTGCTAACAGATGCACTATACTGGCCAAACAACAGGATGTTGTAAATGTCCAACTACTATGTGCTTTTCATATGGATATGCTAATAGGCATGCTATCAGCATACAGCTGTAAATGCAAAGATCACATCTCAGGCTAGGCACATCTTTTATGGATGTTTAACCACCTTCTGTCTTGTAAGAGACCAACTCCTTACTGTTTAGAACAAAAAGTG